CCTTTGAGGCTGGCTTTTCTGATTTAGCATAATTCCCTGAAATCCATTCAAGTTTTGTATATGTAAATAATTTGTTCATTTTTATTGCTGAATAGCTTTCCATGGTATGGATGTATCACAATTTGCTCATCCATTTAAATATCTATGAACTTGTAGGCTATTTTCAATTTTGTCCTATTATAAATTTATTGGGAAAAAGTATACAGATTTTTATATGAACATACTTTTTTATTTCTCTGAAATAAAGTCCCAGCAGCGCAATTGTTGGATTATCATGGTAAGCACACTGTTTATTTTGAAATATATGCAAATACTCTTCCAGAGAAGTTGTACTCTTCCCGAGTAGTTGTATCATTTTACATTCCTACCCGCAGTGTATAAGTAACCTAGTTTGTCTGCATCCTCTTTAGCATTTGGTAATGTCACAAATTTTTTATTTTATCTATTCAGAGAAATGTGTAGTGATACCACATTGTAGTTTTAATTTATATTTTCTTAACAGCTACTGATATTGATAACCCTTTCATGTGCTTATTACCTTCTATAAATTCACTTAAATATATCAACATGCCATATAAATCATTTTAGATTGCTTATTATTTTACTGATGAATTTTGAGACTATTTTATATATTGTAGATAAAAGTCCTTTGTCAGGTATATGGCCTCAAATATTTTCTTCCATTCCTTGGCTTGTCTTTTTGTCATCTGTCTTAGTCTGTTCAAGCTACTATTACAAAATACCTTAGTCTGAATTATCTGTAAACAACAGAAATTTCTTTTGTACTGTTCTTTATGCTGGGAAGTTGAAGATCAGGGTGCCAGGAGATTTGGTGTCTGGTGAGGTCTTACTTTCTGCTTCATCAGTGGTGTCTTCTTGCTGGGTTCTCACATGGTGGGATGGGCAATCAAGCTTTTTCAAGCCTCTTTTATAAAGGCGTTAATCCTAATAATGATGGCAAAACCCTCATGACTTTATCAGCTCCTAAAGGCCTCACCTCTTAATATTGTCACACTGGGAATTAAATTTCAATATATGAATTTGTGGGGAACACAAACATTCAGGTAACAGTACCATTTTAAAAGGATCTTTTGCACATCAATGCCTTTAATTTTTATGATGTACAATCTACTTTTAAAAATTTTCATGAATTATGCTTTTAGTTCAAATCTAAGACCTCTTTGCTTAGCCCCAGGCTCCAATGATTTTTCTTTCTGTTTTTGTCTAACAGCTATATAAGTTTATATTATAAACTTAAGTATGACCCATTTGAGTTAATTTTTTATAAGGTGTGGAGTTAAGGAAAAGCTTTGCTTTTTGCCTGTTTTTCATTCCTGCGACCTATTTTGTCTGATATAAACATAGTCATTCCTATTATTTTATGTTTTCATGATACATACTTTTATATAATATTACTTTCAACCTGCCTGTATCATTTGATTTTAACTGTGTTTCTCATAAATGGCATCTAGTTACCTCATGTTTTTTATCCTCTCTGTCAATTTCTGTCTTTTAATTGGTATACTGAGACCACTTCTATAAATATTGGTATGTCAGGGCTTAAATCTTTCATTTTATTTTTTGTTTAGTTTGTTATTTTTATTTTTCGTTATTTATGTATCTTTTTCTTATCCTCTGTGGGTTAGTTGAATATTTTTTTAGGATTCCATTTGTATTTGATGTTGTGAGTATTCCTCTTTGTTTAACAGTGGGTTTTATAGTGGTTGTCTAAGTATTATTATACATTAAATAAATGTAAATTGCCACAATGTATTAATATCAGTAATTTTATCACTTCAAGTGAAGTTCAGATAGCTTACTTCCCTTTATGTTATTTTACACTTTCCCATTTATAAAATAAAGAAAGAGAGAGAAGAAAAGAAAAGAAAATATAAAAGAAAGGGAAGAAAAGAAAAGGGGAACAAATCAGGGAATTGAAAACTCTTTTGTTTCTTGGATCCTGAAATCCCTGTGTCATGTGCTGTTTTTGCTATATACTTCAAAGTCTTCCCATATATTTCAGTAAGTGTTGTCACTGCCATTTAATGAAACAAGTTAGGAAAAGTATGTTTATTTTATATTTCCAGAAGTGGATATCTGTTATAAAACTTTTTGGTCAGCATTATTTAGGTATGCTTTTAATACAATAAAATACACTTAAATGTACAATTTGGTGAAATTGTATATTTGAAAAATATATGCATCCAAGCTTTTAGATATTAGTTTTAGTAGCAGTGAACTCCCTAATACCAAAATCTGTATTGGTTTACTAGAGATGTTATCACAAATTATGATAAAACAGGTAGCTTAAAAAAATGTACCTTCTTACAGTTCTGCAGGCCAGATGTCCAAACCAAGGTGTAAGCAGGACCATACTCCTTCTTATAAAAACACATCATTGGATTTAGGGCCCATCTTGCATTCAGTATTATTTCATATCAAGATCTTTAACTAATTACATCTGCAAAGACTCCATTTCTAAATGAGGTCATATTATGAGGTTCTGAATGGATAAGCATTTTGGGGAGATACTGTTCAATGCACTGCAGTACCATAAATAAGTACCTTTAAAAGGATTGTGATACAATGCATGTATTCCAGCTAAAACGAATTAGAAATCAATGATTAGAAAAACATAAATTTTTTATAATGTCTCAAAATTTTACAACAAACTTCTAAATAACTTCTAGTTTAAAGACGAAATCATAAAGAAAATTAGAAATATTTTGAGCTGAAAGAAAACACACACAAAAAAACCTAATACAGCACACTTTGAAATACAGCTAAACCAGTGCTTAGAAGAAAGTTTATAACATTAAACACAAATATTAGGAATAGATAAAATAAATTAATGTCCCATGTTTCCACCTTAAGCTAGAAAAGGAATAATAGATTATATAAAAATTAAACAGAATGAAAGAAGTAATATAGATAAGAATATAATTCAATGAAGTAGAAAACAAGAAGGTGATTTAAAAAATATTTCAGTCTTGCTCTTGGAGACGATTGATTTAAAACAGATTTATCTGGGCTTTAGAAAATAATAGGGAAGACATGAATTATAAATGTGAAAATGTGAGAGTGCATCACTAGACTGTAACATGTAGTAAATAGACATATGATAAACTTTATGCCAATATTTGTAACAACTCAGATAAATTGGACAAAGTCCTTGAAAGACATAAAGTTCCAAATTTATACGAATGAAAATATATAAACAAGGAAACTTGGTTTGCAGGTTGAAACCTTTCCACATAAAAACAGTAGTTCTAGGTAAATGCATATGTAAATTCTGTTCAGCATTTCAGAAAGATTTGCTCTCAATTCTACCCTAGACATTTTATAAATTATCCTATGAGACCAGCATCATCTTGATATGAAATCAGGAAATAATATTACAAGAATACAAAAGTCCAAATCAATATCATTTCTGAATATAGATGTAGAAATCCTTAATAAACTGAACTTAGTGACACATGACAGTGTTACATCATGATCAAGCATGGTTTGCTTCAGTAGTATGAGATTGGTTTAGCATTTTAAAATCAATCTATGTCTTTCACTATATTAAAATTTTTTAAAAGAAAAAAAAGTGATGAACTCAATAACTTAGAAAAGACATTTAACCAAATTTAATACCCATTTATTTTAAAAACTCTTGGCAAATTAAAAATTTGTGGGAATTTTTTTCAGAACATCTACAAAAAAAAAAAAAAACCCACCAAGAAACTAGTTAACATCATACCTAATGATGAAAAATGAAATGTTTCTTTTTAGGATTGGAGACAGAAAAAAAAAAACATGTTTGCTTTGACATATTTTGCTCAGTATGTTACTGGAAGTTTTAGACAAACGCAGTAAAAAAAAATTCTTTTTAAAATAAAATACATACTTATTGGAAGCAAGGAACAAAACTTTCTTCATTCAGATTTATTTCCTCTGTAGGAAGTCCTAAGACATGTAAAAAAAAAGTATTCAAGCAGTATTAAATAAGTTTAGCAAGGTTTCAGGATAAAAGGTCAACATAGAAGGACCAACTGCACTTCTCTTTTTAATAGTAAAAATGTAGAAATTAAACATTTTAATATTATTTATAATGGCTTACAAAATATGACTTAGAAATGAATTCAAAAAGAGATAGTTCTGTTCTTTTTTTATTATACTTTAAATTCTGGGGTACACATGCAGAATGTGCAGGTTTGTTACATAGGAATACATGTGTCAAGGTGGTTTGCTGCATCCTTCATGCCCTCATCTACGTTAGGTGTTTCTCCTAATGCTGTCCCTCCCCAATTCCCTCCACACACTGCTGTCCCTCTCCTAGCCCCCCATACCCCGACAGGTCCCAGTGTGCAATGTTCCCCTCCCTGTTTTCATTGCTCAGCACCCATTTATGAGTGAGAACATGTGGTGTTTGGTTTTCTGTTCTTGTTTCAGAACATTTTGAGTGAGAACATGTAGTGTTTGGTTTTCTGTTATTGTGTCAGTTTGCTGAGAATGATGGTTTCCAGCAAAGAACATGAACCCTTCCTTTTTTTGGCTGCATAGTATTCCATGGTGTATATGTGCCACATTTTCCTTATCCAGTTTATCATTGATGGGCGTTTGGGTTGCTTCCAAGTATTTGCCATTGTGAACAGTGCCACGATAAACATATATGTGCAAGTGTCTTTATAATAGAATGATTTATAATCCTTTGGGTATATAGCCAGTAATGGAATTGCTGGGTCAAATGGTATTTCTATTTCTAGATCCTTGAGGAATCACCACACTGTCTTGCACAATGGTTGAACTAATGTACACTCCCACCAACAGTGTAACAGTCTTCCTATTTGTCCACATCCTCTCCAGCATCTGTTGTCTCCTGACTTTTTTAATGATTGCCATTCTAACTGGCATGATGTGGTATCTCAATATGGTTTTGATTTGCATTTCTCTAATGACCAATGTTGATGAGTTTTTTAATATGTTTGTTGGCTGCATAAATATCTTCTTTGGAGAAGTGCCTGTTCATATTCTTCACCCACTTTTTAATGTTTTTTTTTTTCTTGTAAATTTGTTTAAGTACTTTGTAGATCCTGGATATTAGCCCTTTGTCAGATGGATAGATTGCATTTTTTTTTTCCTATTCTGCTGGTTGCTTTTTCAATCTAATGATAATTTATTTTGCTGTGCAGGAGCTTTTTAATTAGATCCCATTTGTCTGTTTGGGCTTTTGTTCTTTTAATATCTTGCTGCAGTGCTTACATTTGTGTAATAATCTGTTCACCTTTGTGTTTATAAAAAATACATTTCTAGAAGTGGAAGCAAAAGTTGAGCACATTTTAAATATTTGATACGTTCAACCAAAAATCCTTCCATAAGTATAATTTGCTAACATAAAATTCCATCAGTATCTATGAGAGTGACTCTTTCTTTATACTCTTGCGAACATTAGATATTAATAGTGCCATAGTTTAATGATATTTGCAAATATAATAAGTGTTATAGGTTGTATTATGCCACTTCAAAATTCATATGTTGGAGTCCTAAACTCCAGTATTTCAAAATGTGAACTTGCTTGAAGATAGGTTTGTTGCAGATATAATTAGGTTAAGATGATATTGTAGTGTTCATATAATTTCCTTTGATACATATTATTTTAATAAACTCTATTCTTGGTCTTAATAATCATTACAGTCTCTTGGTTTAGATACAAAGTTGTTGAACTTTCTATGATAAAAGATTATTGTATTTAAATTTTTTACTTCCTTTTAAATATCAATATGCAGCACTTTCATTCAGATAATGCTTGCCATAATTGCAAGTATTTATGCCTCCATTCGCCTCTGTGCATTAGCTCCATGGTGGTAGCAACTGGGTCTGCCTTGTTCAGCATTATATTTACAGTATATAACATATTGCCTGACATACAATAAATGCTCAAGGAAATTTTTGAATGTATAATTTATTAAGAAAGAAACTAATCTACTATTAAATGCACCAACAAACCTTAGAGCAAGGAGTTTTATGAATGAAGTTCAGGTTTTATTCCACTTATTTTATGGATTGTGGAATGGAAAGAAAGTCTATTGAATATCAAATGCCTAATTAAGAATATAAATGTCAATCACAGTTGATAATATTCTTAGTTTTTGAGCAAATAGAAAGGAAATGAATCTTTTCCTTTACTTCATATAATATTAACTTCTGTTGTAAAATATAAAATGATATGAAATAAAAAATATAAATGTCATTATTTTTAATTAAATATTATCAGTTTATCTTCTGCATTTGCCTCTATTACCATATACTAAGATAATATAAGAAAGTATGTTTCAAAGCCATGACGTTGGAATATATTTCCTCTGGCACAAATAACAGGCCTTTCAAGATTAGCATTCGCTCATTCCACAGTATTGAGTTCAGTGCCATGCCTACCACAGTATTCAGTATCACAAGGTAATGGCAAGAGATTACTGAGAAGTAGTACGAAGATCAGATGAAATCACCTAAGAGTGTAACAAAGTGTACCATATGTTACAGTTTCCCTTAGCTCATGAAAATACCAGGAATTTGAAGTCAGAATGAGATTAACAGACCTTTACTTTTGTCAATGCTTGGAATATAAATTAAGAGCAGGGTACATATGAGGCAGAGTACTTGTCTATCAAAATAATTATTTCAGAATGACTGCAAAAGCGTCATTAGGAAAATAGCAATGCTAATGACTCTACCATCTAAGGCTTTCTTTTCAAACCAAAGAAACACTGCTTTCAATATTTACAACAGGCTATCATCCTCTTTTAATTTCAAAATCATCTAGCAGAAGACTTCTTAGGCATAGAAAAATTTTCAGAAGGACTCTCCAAGAGGAGTAATATTTTTGCAGAAGGAATGACACCTGTTTGTCTAATTTCTGTTTTTCACATTTATATTTGGTTATAGAAATAGCATTTTTGGAATGATTTGGTGACAAGTAGCAGGCATATTATGGAGAAAAGATACTCAAGTCCAAGTTTTAATGGATAATTGAAGGGCTAATTATTCTAGAGAATAGGTAATGTTTATTACCTACAGATGGCTGGTTACAGCTCATTTTACAATGCGTTCATCCTTAATTGTGGCAGGATTTGTCCTGCTGTGTATCTGTCAAATGATTTAAAACAATGCCAGAAAGGTTTTTCTTTTGTTTCAGTCAAGGGATTAAAAATGACTCAAAAATGTTTTCAGAGCAATGTGATTTGACTCCAACCCAATATATTCCAATTATGGTAGAATGAAAAAGAAATATTTACAATAATTATGTTCACCTACTTAACGTAAGCTGTTATCTATATAATGGCACAATATATTTAAAGAAGAAACAGATGTAAGCAATATTCTTAATGGTAACAACATTCTAGTTGGCTAGATATAAAAGCAAATTGTACTTTTGGAATCTGATTCTTTTTAATATTGTGGGGGATAATTGTAGCAATTATGACTATTCAAAATAATCACAATTTTATTGATTCATTATTTTGCCTCTTATTTTGCATGTACTTGACATAAGCAAGTGGAACATTTAACAGTAATCTAGCTTTAAGCCATATGTAAAAATAATTATAAGTATAGTCTATAGAAATTTCAGAACTTACAGGACAAGTTATAAGAAATGGAATACAAAAAAGGTGAAACTGCTAATTTCCCTGACTATCCTGGGCTTGTTATCATTAATAGCTTCCCAGAAATATACTGGAATGATGCCTGCAGTAAATGTCCTGTAAAAAGTAGTAATTCAGGAGGAGGTGATAAGGAAGGAAAGGATAGATGTATAACAACAGTTTTCTTTACCTTTCCCCTATGTGATGTTACAGTTCCAAATAAACTTAAATAAATATATTTTGTAAAATCCTCAAATAAGATGGAAGAGAAAAAGCCAAATTTTCTCTGCTGATATGATGCATGATGATTCTACAATGCTGATGTTTATAAGTAATTGTGGCATTTTATTGAATGATGAGTTTTTAAAACTCTGTAGAAAAATATCTAACAGTTGTTATGTCCTTCACATTCTCCAAATTCAGCTGTACTTTGTTTCATGTTTTTTCTGTATGTCCTTCCCCTGACTCCCAAATCAGAAAAGTGAAAGCATGTCTTTGTCCAGTACTGTCAAGTACACAATGTGACAGGATTTTCTTTAATGAAAAGGGAAAATGTTGAGTGAAAGTTAAATTCATTTCTTTAAAAGTCAAAGCAATTTGCTATAAATCAACTTATAATGTTTTGTGGTGCAATCACTCGTATTCATTTTTGGACCTCTTCTTAATTCCCTCAGTCAGCAATATTATCATTTTGACACATGAGGTCTATATCTATGCATTTAGTGAGGTCTTTAAAAGAGCTTTGACTAAGGATGTTAGTGTTTTTTGAGGCCTTACTGAGATTTTGGAAGAAATTCCTCAAAGAATACTCATTGAGAGTCAATTGCTTCTTCAGTAAATGTAAACATGGTGTGTATGTTCTGATGAAAGATGAAAGCTAATAGGAATACACTGGTTAAGGTTACCAAGACCCTTCTGAAGGTATAGGTCAGAATAACTCTGCTGGACACCAGCCACTGCTATAGTTCTGAGTAAGTAATGGGCAGTGCCTACTGATATAACTTTATAGCTTTATCTTATGGTTTTCAGATTTTTGTCAAAATGGAAGGAATTCTTATTATATATCAAATGCTGTGGAGGAGGAAATGTTTGCTTGAGATTATATGGAAAGATGGCACCAATGAATATTTTTCCTTGCAAAGCATACAGTCTTCATCATTTTCAACATTCGGTAGAAATAATTTTCATGATAAATGAGAATATACTAGTGTTCTTTTTTAAAAATGCAGCATAATTCTAAGTTCTCTAAGCTGTTACTTCAGTGTGATGAATGTTGCCATTATTTTTACTTATGGTATTTGTCTGAGAACATATCAGGTTGAACATACAGAACATTGCTAGTCTTATTTTGAGGTAAATTTCCTTTTTTTCAATAACCACTCCTTTAGCTTTTACATATTATTAGTACATTGTGAGGAACCTATTTTTTTACTTGTAGTTATTAGAATCTTAGTAAATCCTAAGCAATGTTTTCAAGTTCTACTGATTCTATTTATAACAACAAAATTCCAAAAGTATATTCAACTTCTTTAATGTAAACTGAAAAACTCCATATGACATATGGCTATTCAAAAATATCATTTTAATCAATTAGTAGGACTGTGTAGAAGTCTCTTACTCAGTGTGATTAAGCAGACAATTACTGCTTTAAATAAAATTACGAGTTATATAAAATCATGGCCACAAACTTCTAAAAATCCTTTATAATTAACTCTATGGCTGATTAAGAAAATTAGAAATTGATTCTAAAGTTCTTTCTTCAATACATTGCATGTGCAATATAAGAACTAGTAGGGATACGAAAGATAAATCCATATTAGACCATAAGTAGTGATATAACTGTAATCTTCATTAACATGGGACCACAATATTATAAATTTAAAGTATTGTATATGTAAGGAGAAATTGGTAGAAATACAAAATAAAGAGCTTTAACAAATGCTAATAGGTCAATTACAAATTAGCTGTATTCAAAATAACAGTAAAGATAACCAAAAACTGTAACAAATGCAACTTGAAATTGAATGAAAACTATCATAAAAGTAGAAAATAAGCATCCATTTTGCACCCTAAGAACAAGTAAAAACTTGCGTAATAAATTTTGCCTACAATAAAATTTCCAATAATTACATAAAACAGAAACTGGACTGCTTTTACATAATAATCCTAGAGAAGGATTATATTCAAAGCCTAAACAGTAACAAACAGAATATGAGCTATTTTGAGATGAAAATTAAAGGCAACATATGAAATCTGGTATGGATAGAGAAAAAAAAGATAATTTTTAAATGTAAATTAAGGCAGTACAAAAGACAGGATTTATTCTTCCCCTTCAAACAACCAAGAAATAAGGCAAAATATATTAAGCAATGGCTTCAAGACACTGGATATTAGG